TTGTCGAGCTATATTAATATTTGTTCGAAAAATCTACATTTATTAAAAACCAACAGTATTAAAACAGAAAAAAACGGTTGAAAAACCGAGTCGATCACCCTACTGGTTATCCAAAATATTTATTACACAAATAACATATTTTCGACCACAATTTGTTTTTACACTAAAAACATTTTAATTAAACACATATTTGCATTTGAAACGTCAAAAATTTGAATTTTTTCCAACTAGATTGGCCCTTCGCAAAACAGTAGATAGGTGAATGCGGATGACGGATGTGGCCCATTTTAAATACCAAACAAAACTAACACTATGCGATAAATACACTTACGTGACATAAAATTTCAGCTCTCTATATTGTGCTTTCGGCAGACCAAAAATCCATGAATAAACTTGAGGTCCCTAAACAAGGATATGAATTTCGATTTCAATAAGCACTTTGAATATAATATTTCTATAATGAATATTACAATAATGAAGAAATGTTTTTTGTATTGAACTTTTATTAAAAGAAAAATTTAATTACAGGATCAAAGCGCCAATTCAAAATGTTTTCTAATATAAATAACAAAAACTAATTGTACTAAATGTCCAATTACACTAGTTTACAACGATTTTGCTCATGATATAAAACCTATATGGATTTTTTTATTTTGGCCGTCTAAGTCCAGAAAAAAATATTTAAAAAAATCTAAGACGTCAAATTTTTGAATTATTCATAAAGAATAAAATGCTAAAAAAGGATTAAATTAGGAGTAAAAAAATTAAATATTTAGGGATGTATATATTTTTTATGCAAAACATTTTACTGGTCTTCCTCACAACTCTCTAACAATGGATTCCTGTCACAAAAATATTAAAGATTACATTGCAATAATCTTAAATCTTGGTGAATAGATGCCATTTTTATCACTCACACTTCCAAAAGTTTTTCGGAAAAACTATAAGTGGGAATGTAAGAAATGAATTATGAGGGATAAATTCAGATCCGTAAGTTTGTAATTCAGGAATAAAATGTCAATAATTTTTTCGAATTTTTTTTTTAATTTAAAAAAATTATCAAAAAATTTACTAAAAATCGGGCCAAAAACAAAGAAATTTGATAAAAAGTTAGTTAATGAAGACGTACATTTTATATTATTGAATTTTTTTTTCTGAGTTGACTGTTAGGTTCCCAAAACAGGTGCAAGCACCCAAAAATCAATTCTCATTTTCAAATATTTTTCCATCACTACTGAAGAAGGTTGCTTAACAAAAACCACTTTATCTCAAAATTTTGAAGAAAAAAAAAAAAAAAAATAAAAATTGTTAATTAACCACCCTTAGCCAGACATAGCCCTTTCCAAAAATATATGTTTCATTCCATGAGCAAACTAAAAATATAAATTTGTAAACTTGTGTTATTATCTAAATTAATATTATTTAAGTATTGGGGAATTTATTGTCAAGTGATCCAACTTTAAAAATCGATGTCTTCCGATTTGTATGAAATTTGCGCCAAGGTTTGTACTATGGGATACAAATTTTCAGCTATATCGGACAAGAAGGGGTCAACGTTGGACATTTTGGTCATACAGGGTTTTATTCAAATGAGTGTAACTTTTCACCTATTGGTCCTAAATAAATAAATAAATAAATAATAATTTTTATAAAAATTTTTTTTATATATATTTTTTTAATATTTTTTTCAAAATGGGCCCTTTTTATTTTTTTGTTTTTTTTGCTTAAAAGAAAGCTTATACAATTTCCTCAAAGTGCTTTATAGTCCCATAATGGGATGCGAGTGGGTTTTTCATTAAAAAATTATTTTTTAACTCAAGAATAAATTTTTTTCAATATTTGTCACTTACTTTTCCACTATTTTTTCAAAATGGACGTTTTTCTTGTATTTTTTTGCTGAAGGAAAAAATTGTATTAAGTTATCATGAAAATTGGGACCTGTAGAGTGCGCACAAGGTTTACATGGACACACAGACGGATAGACGGACGGTCGATAGCTAAATCGACTCAGTGACTCAAGTGATGATGACAAATGCATAATACCCTCCCCACTGTAGTGGTGTAGGGTGTAACTCGGATAGATAGTTTAGTAAATATACGATGTCAAATTAAATGTTTGTTGAAAAAATCCTAAAAATATGAACTCTGAACCTCGATATAATCAAAACCGTAACGAATTTAAAAATTTTGGAAAACTTTAAATTTGTATTTACTCGAAGTATGTGTCTGCCGAATTTCATCGAAATCGAAGAGGGTCATGTTCAAAATCCTACTTTTTTGTTCGAAATTTTTTGAAATCACCCAATATCGTACTGAGACTAAAATTTTTAATGGCTGCTAAGGAACTGCGGCCACTTTCTAAAAAATATTTTTTTATTCTTCTCGTGTTTAGTACATTAATACGAATTCGTCCAAAGATATTCCTACATGAAATGTTTAAAAAGGCAGTAGTTCTTCGGAATACTCTAATGAATATACATATGTAAAGACAGAAATTAAATGGTTTATTTAATACATAATTGGTATTTTAATAACAGTTAATTAATTGACTAATTAATTACAAAATAAATTATACATAGAACTACATACATGGTTGTATCCTTACATATTAAAATACATAATTTTTTAATAACATAAAATAAGCATGTATGTATATAAGGGAGGCTCCTATATAGAAGTTGCTGATGTTCCCTTCGAAAATGAAAATTTAGTTCATTTTAAGATATCATTCCTCAAAATGTTTGTCCTGAAGTCAACATTTGGTTAGCTGGATCAAAGGATAAACGGTTTCTTATCCGACATTAGTTTGTTGGCAAAGGGGGTAAAAAAGGGTAAATTGAGGGGTTTCCTTTATTTTTATTCTACACTCAAAGAGTGAAGATCGTGAGTGATCACTCTAATACATGAATCAGAGTTGCCGCAAGCAATATTTGAACCTTATTTAATAAAAAGTTAAGCAATATTTTAAATATTAGCTTGTTAGTTATTTTTGTTAGATATCTCTCAGTTAACCTCATATTTTAATAAGCAATTGAGCAATTCGTCAAATTTTTATAAATTATTAAAAACACATATTTGTTAAATATATTTAACAGATTACTTAATTTAACAAATATTTCTTTCATGTATAAATTTCAGTAAATTACATTAAATAAATCCATATAAAAATTTTAAAATGCAAAATTTTTCCGAAATAATTCTAAAAAGTGTTCAATATTTTTCAATTAACACAAGCATTTCTGATAAGTCATTGAAAGCGCGTCACAAAGACTATCGTACGATATCAAAATTCCAAAAGTCTTAAAAATAGGACCTTTTTTGCCATTGAGCCTGCTCACCAAAAATTGACCCCAGGACAAAAATTTTGAGAAACTATATCTTAGAATGATCTAAACTTAAATTTTCACCATACACTGATGTAATATTATTACCCAATAAACGATTAAAATCTGTAATATGTAAACTATTTAAGTTCTAATACGTTTTATTTATATAATATTATAAAACTTTCCGCATAGTATTGTCACAATTTCGTAGTGAATCAAACAATTTTACTTCAGTCTCTTAAAATACAAACAAAATTTTAGAAAAACAAATTAAAAAAATCTTTAAAATTAGTTATTACCAAATTAAAATGCTAAAAGTGACTTTCATCAACTGTAAATGATTTAAAATTTTCTACAGAATATTTTTTAAGGATTTATTTAATTAAACAGATAATCAAGCTAAATTTATATGGAAATACATACTTTGAGATAATATAATTCATCATTAATTGTTCTAAAATTGTATTAGTTTTTTATTTGTATTTTTTATAAAATATATACATATAAATTAAAAGAGTATTTGAGAATATCGATAAAATATGTAAAATATGTAAAAGTTTGCAATTTTAAATAAAAGGAAAAAATAAGTTTTAAATTTTTATTACGTAAAAACGTCGTTAGAACGAACCGAAATTTTATAAATATTTGAAAAATTAACATTTTTTTTGTAAATAGTCGAATAACACAATTTTATGAAATTATTAGTCACATTCGATTTTTTTTTACTTATGTATATTCTAATCATAAATGATACATTTGTCGGAAACATTGCACATTTAATTTTTTTGTGTTTTTAGGAATTCATAAAGTATTACTTCAATTACTTAAATAGACCACCTTACAGTTAACTGTATAAGTTGTGTAGTTTTATAAATGTGATCGTGTATAAAACTGCTCCAAAACTAATTGACGCTTTTATTTGCAGTATAAAGAATACGATTTCTTTTAAAAGTAATAAACTAACATTTCGAATTTCATTATTCCTTTTAGAAAATTAAATTAAAATAGTGACCTAAAATTCTATGTAAAAGAACGTAAAAACACTTTACATAATTTTACAGCATAGATTAAAAAAACTTAATTTCTGAAGCCCATTAAGTTGAAATTTGGCACACATATAGACACTTGATGACAAACAATTGAAAATTCGAAATTGAATTTAGATCGATTTAGTTTTGAGTAATGAAATTCAGTATTTTACGCTTTTTATATTTTTCAATTTTTTAACTGACAATTATTTTAAAATTAGTCAGAAAATAAACGATTTTCTTAGGACCAATCTTTAGGTGAAAGATTAGCGATTAAATTAAAATTAATCCTCGAAAGATGTTTTTGAGTACTCAATTAGTTAATTTTGTTTGCAAGTTTAAGCGCCCAATGGAGGTGGTTTATTCTTAAGCACGAAATGCAAAAGTGTAAACAGCTGATGCAAAAAAATTAATAAAATTTTTATAAATATAAACATTAAAATGTTCTATTTATTGATTAGTATAAATTATGGATACTTCAAAGTACATTTTATTGTTTTTAATTTAAGTTTTCATTAATTTTCATATTAAATTTACAATTGTCTTCTTCTTTTTATAAAATATGCATTGTTTTGATAACAAACACTGAAGTTTTCTGTTGTTTTGTATGGCAATACTGCGAAGTTTAATCTTGTACTCAAAAACATCAAAGGGGATTAACATAAGATTAAATTTATTTTTAAATTAACTAATCTGATTATTAATTGACATTTGATTACCATCTCAAAAACCCGATCTTAAAGTTTTAATAACATACTTCAATAAAAACTTGACTCTTCTTTTAATAAGCTATACAGAAAAAATTAAAATTTAAATCAATCGAATATTGTTTTCTTTTCGATCGGAATAATAAATCGGAATTGAAACCATTTCGATCGAAATGTGTAATAGGAATGATAAAAAATTAAAACATTGAATTTTCAAAAAGTAAGAAATATATGTATGTAGATAGTAAATTTTAACAAAGCACTTGCTGTGCCCTGTCTTTATTTTGTATATATACGTACGAAAAACTATTGAACTGTCAATGTGGATGTGTTTCAATGTTAGGTAATTGTAATGAAACTTAAAAAAAAAAATCCGGAAATTTAATACTCCAAACTTATGAACAAATACCAGTGTGACACAAATAAATTAAATAAAAATTTTTATTATCAATATGTATGTAGCATAGCAGAAATATAGAAGGTAGTCTCAATCAAAAAAATTAAATTTAAATAAGGTTTTTTGACGTTTTCCTTATTTTAAACTTTATATACAGAGTTGCCACATGTTAAAAATAATAATGGATTTCAAGAAATATTTTACAAAAAATGTGTAGTTAATTTATCTAAATAAAATGTGTGTTATATTAAAGGATGTTAATTAAATTACTGATTTCCTCTACAAACTTATAAATAATAAATATGTCAGATTTTGCTTAATAAGTTGTATTTTTAAGATAGATATTACAAAACTCCTCACATTCTAGTGTATACTAAACCAACGCATTTACATACCTGGTAGTTATTGGGATAGCATTTCTATTTTTGCATCTTTCAAGCCACTGTTGGCGTTTACCCGGTAATATAGGGACTTTAAAAAATCTTACATTGGAATTTTTGCAGAAGTATTTCGTATTTTCGCAGTTCGGGAAAATGCAGCTCATATTTATTCTCTAATTAATTTTACAAATTAGTTTTCAAAGATTTTAATATAAATGTGATTTTTTTCAAAAGAGCTATTTTTATAATATTTTATAACTGAATTGAAATTATTTTTATAAATTTTTTACATAAACTTCAAAGCATATATAGAAATTTCATTATAAAAAGGGAAAAATTAAACTGTATATGGTATCACTAATTTAACGAAAACTTCAAAATCCTTAAGCATGTCAGATAGAGAATTTAAAAAAATAATGAGAGACTGACACTACCTTCTATATTTCTGCTATGGTATGTAGTATGTGAAGTTTATCTTACTTGAAGAAGGCCCTAAATGTTTTTTATTAAAAATTAATATAGTAATTAGAAACAAAATATTTAAATTTAGAATAAAAAATCGATGAATACTAAAGATATTCACCTAATAAGACGCCATATTTTAATTATTACGAGTAGAAAGAGATTTACGGAAAAATATCCCTCTCTCTTTAAAGTAAATGATTTTCAACAGGAACTTATTCTTCAACAGGGACATAACAATTATAGACCATAACTTTGAGACGACAATGCCACATGTCACACATGCCAGGTCATGGTGGACATCTATCCGGTATCAATTTTCATTTATAGTTTACAAAACTTGTTCTTTCCAATACAATACAAATTTAAATGTCATTCACTAGTTTGTTGTAAAATATAAGTCCATGTTGAATTTTAGAAATGTAATCGAAGCAATTTACAAATTTATTCAATTTCTGCTTTTGTACTCTCATGGTAGGTGTTATTTCACATGGGACTTTTTTTTATTTCATAACGTCATATTGAGTGTAACTTTACATACATATGTATTTATTTAGAACGATTTTCATTTTATTATTAATATATTAAAACTAGGTTGTAATGAATTACGCGATACTAGTGAAAATAGTTCTATATACACTAGTATTTTGCCAGAAAATAAATTTCCTTAGTATAGTATAAACATCAGATTTATTACAAATATCCACTTTTGATTTTCATTTTCATGAATTCTTCAGTTTTTTAATAATACATTTGGGGTTTTAATTATAAAAATAGTAAATTTGTAGAAAATTATAAGAACATTGTTCGTTTTACCCAAGGATTTGTAATAACAATATTTCTGGCAGCTATACTAAAACGTCAAAATATGTTAATATGAATTCGTTATAATCGAGTTTTACTGAAAATTATTCATTGTTTGTTAATTCGTTTTAAGTGATGTTTTGACTTAGTAAACGTATAAAGACTGTTTGGGCGACTGCTATTGTGGGGGCCGACATCGACCCGCTGAAGTTCCAGAAAAATCTATGTCTTTTTGTTCTATTATTGGAATACGATCATCATATAGTGTTGGTGCTTGAAGAATTATACCAGCTGTTCCTGCTAATACAGCCAATGTAAAAATCCATAAAAATAGCCGATCCAAAACCATAGCCACATATTTCCAATCTTCTTTGACCTGTAATAAATAAATTGAAGTTTTTGAATAATAATTTCATGTCAATGAATATATTATAATAAACAACAACAACAAGCAATGAAAAGAATTCATATCGAAATTATAAATGCTACCAAAAAAGTATAAAAAGACCTGTTTTAGATTGTGTGACAAAGCCCAGCACAGTGGGTGCTTCCATACGACAAAAATAAGAGGAATAATGTTCAAAAATTTATTTTTTAAAGAAACATCCATTAACTAAAGACATCATTATTCGCGGCAACATATGAATTTTTGTCTATAGTCAAGCGTCACTTCTCTAATAAAATTCAAGAAAGATCCGTCAAGGCTAGGTCGCAAATCCCGTCTCTGGCAAGATGAGCTTACCAGAAGCTGGATCTGCTCTTCATATCTACAACGTCGTTACAGTAGTAACCCCTTTAGGTTTTATCAAGAGTAGTATCATCAGATTATATCTTCAAAAGGCTGAAAATAGGTGGAATAACCTAAACACGTGTAAATGGACCAAGATATTGTGGCCCTCCTTCAATGAGAAACGCACAAGACACCTTATAAATCGTAGTAGATGGGATATATCGAGATTGATAGGCAGACATGCAAGTCGGCTTGAGCTACCCTTCAATGAACACTGTCGCAGTTGTCAAATACAGACATTCAAAATGAGAAGAAACAAACGAGCAGAAAAAATACTGAAAATAAAGACTGACTTCAATTGTTAACATTTAATTATTATAGCCTACTCCACTTTAGTGGGGAGGGTATATTGGGTTTGTGCTGATGTTTGTAACGCACAATAATATTGGTCCTATACCCACCTTAAAGTATACCAATCATTTTCTGAGTCGATTTAGCAATGTCCGTCCGTCCGTCCATGTAAACCTTGTAATCAAACTACAGGTCGCAATTTTGAAGATAATTCAATGAAATTTGGTACATTATCTTCTATTGTCCCAGGGACGAAGCCTATTGAAAATGTTTAACATCGGTCCATTATTTCACCTAGCCCCCATACAACTGAACACCCGAAAAGGGCTTTTAAGTTCATAATTATGTTTAATATACTCTACAAAAAGCTGCAAAAACCAAGTTGTATACAAGACTTGATGACCCTCACGAATTCCATAATAATAGGTTCTCATATGACAAGCCCCCGTCAAAATTTCACTTAAATGTCCACAATTTTATTCAACAATAAACGGCTTAAGTATGTATATCTAAGGCAAGGTACAATTCAACTTAAATGCTTTATTATGGCAACTAAATCACATTATGTGATTTTTTTTGTCAAAGGTGTAGGGTATTATATGGTCGGCCTCGCCCGACTTTAATTTATTACTTGTTTTACACATTAAATTCAAACTTAAAGGGTGGAAATAGCTGATATTGGCTTTGTCTTACGTATTTCATCATGGATCAAAAATATAAACTTTGTCGGAGTATCACATCACAAGTATTTTAAAAATTTGTGTTAAAATAATGTAGTTATATGTTTTACGGCCATTTTCACCAAAAATTATTTTATAAATTTAACTGCAAGTTATAATTTTCGTTTTCATCCTCCTTCAGTTAGATAACTTAAAAATAATTGATTCATGTGTGTAGGTAACATTTGATTATTTTGAAATAAAACGTCATATAGATTAAAACTATTTTTGTTATTATTCATTGCTTTTTTTAAACAAATAATGAAAATAACAGTTTCCATATTATTTGGAATTGACAAGAGCTAATTCTGTCACAACTTAATCTAAATTTAAACTTTAGCTAACTTCGAATGGCCTATTCGTCCCTGTCAGTTAAACCAAAGTATATGAGTATAGGATATATTGTTTATAATAGTTATACTATATTTCATCGAAAGGATTTGTCTGGGAACTCCTGGGCACTTAATTAAAATCCTTTTCGAAGTTGCTTAAAATATATTACGATTAAGATATAATTAAAATCGATAAAATGTCAATTAATTTCGAATATTGAAAGATGCATAACACATACCTACTTGAACTCTTTACCCAAAAAAAAGAAGTGGAATTTACTCCATGGATGTACTGAAAAAAAAACATAGGAGGGATGTCCTATTTATTTGATTCCAAATTCACTACTTCTGAAGTCATTCTCAAGAAGTAATTTTTAAACCTCTATTGTGGAAGTTATTCGGAAGAGAAATTGAAGTATTATAGAATACAACTAATTTGATTTAAATGATATTAACATTAATAAGGGTAATAGACACATTTATTACAAAAGCCCAAAAATAACATTTTCATCTCATAAAAATGTAAGAACAAAAAATATGTATATCTTCAACATTGAAAAATTATAATTATTTTCGCTTCTTCGGAAGTCTTTAAACATCACTTCCTCAGAAGGTAAAGAAATCAGTTAGTGCTACTTTTGTAGTAGTGATAAACATTTTTTTTTTGAAGTACTTCGTTTTATTTTTGCTGTGTAGTGTTCCAATAAACCAAAGAGCGATATGATAGTGAAAACGGTATTACTTCTTTAGGGCGATTATGATATCATATTTTATTATTGAAAACTATGTTATTATAATATTGTTTTTAAATATATTGATTCAAATAAAATAAAGACGAAATACAAGCATGATAAAAAACTTCAAACATAAAAAATTTTAAATAAAAATGTTTAAACAACATACGATAGGAAAGCTGGGAAGAGAATTGAAATAAAACCAATTAAATTATATAAAACCAAAATAAATAAATATAATGGTTCTAGTTTTGAAAGTGATTCTCTTCATTTTTTCTTGTTTGCAATAAGTGAAACAGATAAACATTAATTTGGTTCTTTAAGTATAATTCTTTTTGCAAGAAAGCCAACAATTTCTATGTATACTGAACCCTGTTTCCTGGGCAAGAAGATACCGGTGATAGACAGAGTGTAACCCTTCACCTAAAATTAAAATGGTGACACCACATAGAGTATAGGATCAAAAAGGCATATCGGTGTTGGGCGATATGTAGGAGATCTATAGGCATGAAATGGGATTTTAGTCCTACTATGACACATTGGTGTTATAAAAGTGTAATTAAACTAATTCTAGCTTATGCTTCAATAATCAGGTTGACTTCTTGGGACAAAAAGTGTAATATCAAACTACAACAGGGAGTTCAGCGTACATGCTGCTTGGGTACAAGTATTACCATAAGCACAACGTCAAGCAAGGATCTAGAAACGTTGCTAGATATTCCACCCATTGAAACATATGAGGCGGCACTTACAACCGAACGGCTCATAACTTTAGGTGAACTGGCCAAAAGCGGTTATAAGACACGTCATCAATGTATACATGGATACCTTGGAAGGCTATAAACAATCATCGGACGCGCCTTATCGCATACCAGATGGAAACTTTGAATCACTGAGCACAGTTAGAATGTCTTGGTTAAGGGGAACATTTCTCACGAACACTGATTGGGAAATTCTTAAGGTAGTATTAGACGACATGTATTTTACATATGTACTGTCTGTATTTTACATACGATTCATAATTTTTGCTATCACACCTGTCTGTGTTTTTCCGTATGAGCTAACTTATAAAGTAATCAAAGCTGTCATTTTAATGTGTAAAAATTGTTAAAATTATAAATTAGTTTATTAAAAATGAAAAAATACTTACTTTTTCATGTTCTTTATTAATTTTCTTTAATTTACTTTTTCAAAAAATTTATTTCAAAGCAAAACAGCTGTTTTGTTTATGTTTGGCATACGAAAATAGAGCACGCTCTAATCGAAAAAATTACATATGTATTTCCACATGTATTTTACATATGCAATATTTCATATGTATCAGACGACATGTACAACTTTTACAGATGGAAATTTTGACAGTACATATGTAAAATACATGTCGTCTAATACCACCTTTAGGAATTACAGTCAGGAAACTGAGTTTCAGAACATTGAAAGATAATACATTCAGTGTATCACCTTTTATCACCTTTTTCTTCCATGAAAAGCAGCGCACAACGGGCCCGAAAGTTGCCTGTTTCTAATACATTAATAAATACCGTAGCTTAAGATTTTGAAGGTGTTTGGCAAATTTTATTTGTATTTGATTAAATTATTCGAATAAAAACTTTTATTTGCATTTTATTAAATTATTCGAATAAAAACTTTTATTCGTTATTCGTTCGAATAATCGAATAATTTTTAAAATTTAATCGACTACTCCAGTGAAAAAATATAGTAAATTTTTTATCGAATAATTTTAAACACGAATAATTGACATCTCTAATGTATATATGCAATCTTTTATTTTTAAGAAAAATACGATTTTACACTCGTTATTTTTTGGGAAATTATAATAGCGATAACGATATCATAATTTTATGGAAAAACGATATCATAAGGAAAGGTACCATTTGGTACGTAAATACTATCGTTCTCGATACAAGAACGACTATCACTTATGATTTTCGGTAATATAATATCGTTATAATATCGTATCTCAGCTTTTCGGAAATATAAATTTTTCATTAAAAATATAATAATCTACGCCGTCTAATATCTTAAATATTTTTCAATGGGTGGAATATCTAGTAACGTTTCCAGAGCCTTGGTTGACGTAGTACTTATGGCACCACTTATACTCAAGCAGCATGTACGCTGAATTGCCTGTAGTAGTTTGATATTACACTTTTTGTCCAAAGAAGTTCGCCAGATTATTGAAGCATAAGCTAGAGTAGGACTAAGACTCCATTTCATGCCTATAGTTCTCCTACATATCGCCCAGCACCGATGTGTCTTGCTGATCCTTTCCTCTATGTGGTGTCTCCATTCCGGTCAAGGATTACAGCTAAGTACTTAAATCTATCTCTCACCGGTATCTTCTTGCTCAGGAAATAGGGTTCAGTAAGTTAGAAATTTTTGTCTTTCTTGTGAAAGGACAGATTTCCGTCTTCACCGGGCTAACATTGCGGCCTCTTGGTTGAGCACAACTAAAGGCCGTATTCAGAGGCTCCCCAGCTCTTCTAAAG